TTGATAATTTTTTAAAAATTAAAATATTATTTATGAAATTAAATAGAATAAATTATTAAATATATGATAGAATTATATGGTATGATATGTATTAATTTTTAATTTATTATACACTTAATGATATATTCCTTCCAAATATATAAAATAAATAAAATAAAAAAATTATGTTGTGTAACTTTTCTTAACAAATAAATATAAAACAAATACTAAGATAATTCTCACATTCATAAAAAAAAAAAAAAAAAAAAAAAAAAAAAAAAAAAAAAACAAATAGTATAAAAATATAAGTATAAATAAGAAGAAAATACATATATATACAAATGATTAATTTTATTAATACATAAATCATACTTGCATAACAAATGACCAATTTTATTAATAAGTAAATAATTAAGTAAATTAATAATTTTTAATGATGTAAAAAAATATTTTTCAGTTAACCATTTTGTTAATAAATAAATTATTAAGGCAATTGATGGTTTTAATGATATGAAAAATATTTTTCAATAAATAATTTTAACAATTTATTATTGCATAAGAAAATATTTTTTTCCTAAATATTGTGTTAAATTAAAATTTATAACAAACGATAGTTATAATTTGGAGTTTTTTTTTTAAGGTCCCTAGTATTATGATTTTATAACATAAAGGACACTCAATTTTTGCATAATGTCTAAGGTCCCTCAACATCAATCCAGAGAAAATTCGATCCAGAGAATTTCTCTGGACAAATCACAGAGAAAATCTCACCAGAGAATTTCTCTAGATTCAACCCAAAGAAATTTCCCTCTCCACTCCAGAGAAATTTACTCATTCCCAGAGAAAATTCCCTCTCGACTGAAAAACAAGACACTGATACACACACATATTAGCTTCACCACGGCAGCTTCATTTTTTGAGCTTCACACCGCACACACAGAGAGCTTCAACCCATGCACATACACAACCCATGCACACAGTCACACACATACACGGCACACACACACCACAGCACACACAGACGGAGGGACTCAATATTCAACACACACACTCTCTCTCTCTATCACATGGAGACCCAGTCATTTCACACCAATCAACAGAGTATGGATGATAGCTCGCCAGAGCCACAGAGGCTGACGTCGGAGTCTAATTGTGAAGAGACGAGGAGGAAGACGACGGAGGACAAGGCGGTCCGTGGCGGAACCGAGCATGGCCGATCTGGTTGCGAGGCCGTAGACACGCCGTCTGCCTATACGATCGCCGAGGTATCCGAAGATTAGTTGACCGATGACGATCCCTAAGAGTGCGATGGCGACCATAGCGGAGGTGATGGCTATGGGGCCAACGAGTCTCATGATCGAAGGGATACAGAAGAGAGAGATTAGAGTTTGAAATTGGCCATTAGAGAGAGAGAGAAAGTCGAATAAAGAAGGGCGTCTGGTGGTGGTGATCAAAATGAGGTAGATAGAGAGAGAAAAAGAGAGAGAGGCAAAAGTCAAATTTCTCTGATATATGTTTAGAGACCTTAGACATCAAAAAATAATTTTGTGGATCTCTTCCATTACGAAAAGTGGGAGAGGGACCCTAGACTAATTTTTTCCTTATAATTTCTAATATTATAGAACCGATTTATATTTTAAACAAACCTTACGGGTGTATTTGTAATTTGTTAAAAATAAAAAATTTATATTTCATAATTGATCAAGAATGTTTGTGTAATTATAAAAAAACTTATTTCATAATTAACCAAGAATTTTTGTGTAATTACAGAAAAACCTGTTATATAATTGACCAAGAATATTTGCATAATTATAAAAAAAAAATTTACTCAATATCCAGATCATCATTAATAAATTATTTAAAATAAAAAAGTAACACAGAAAATAGAAGACGAATTTCAAATAATTAAGCCACACTAGGATTCATTGACAGAAGTGAATGTCACCATTGATGTCTAACTGTAGGACCAGGATTCATTATCCTGCGAAAACACCATACACACACGCGTACACGTACCTTATATGTTGATTTAAGGTTGCGGAAGTGACTATAGATGGGGCGTAATCATGACACACACGCGCGTACACGTACCTCCATATGTTGATTTAAGGTTGAGGAAGTGACTATGGATGGGCTATCATGATATATGAAATTTGAGTAAATTACACTTTATTTTTTTTTATGTTTAGTATTTTTTTATTTTGATTTTTTTTTTTAAAAAAAAAATTCTATTTTGACGCATCATGTTTTAAATTTTTTCTAATTTACTTTAAAAACTAACATATGTCCAAAAATAGACACAAAAAAAAAAAGACACATTGGCAACCACTTAACATAAAAATATGAATAATACTTGGGACCCCCTTTTGGGGGTCACTCCCTCACCCCCCTTTGTCACGTGGCGGGTGGTGATTGGAGGAGCAGGAAAAAAAAGAAAAAGAAAAAGAAAATGTAACCAATGAGAGAGAGAGGGGGTCAAAGTGGTGGGAGGAAAAGGGGGATAAATCATTGTTGTAAAAATATTTTATCAACAATGCTAGAGGGCCACAATTTTTGTGGCCATAATAGCTCAAAACTACCAAAACGACGTCGTTTTGGGTGCAAAACATGCTAAAACGACGTCGTTAATGAGAGAGAGAGGGGGTCAAAGGGGTGGGAGGAAAAGGGGGGATGAATCATTGTTGTAAAAATATTTTATCAACAATGCTAGAGGGCCACAATTTTTGTGGCCATAATAGCTCAAAACTACCAAAACGACGTCGTTTTGGGTGCAAAACATGCTAAAACGACGTCGTTTTGACAGTTTTAAGCCATTGTGACAACAAAAATTATGGCCCTCAAACATTTTCCATATTTTATTATGTGAAACTCACACATTTGACACAAATCCAAACTCTAATATAATAATATATGTTTTGTCATTTGACAGCTAATGTTATATTTTACGTCTAATAATAAAAATTAATTTTAAGAGTAAATTGAAAAAAAAAAAACTTCAAAGGCCAAAATCAGAAGATTGCTTTACGTAGGATTTTTTAGAATAAAGCTTCCGATCCCCAGTGGGGGTGCTGGGGTCGTGCTTGTCGAGTCGGGATTGGCCAAAAAAAAAAAACTATTTTTTTTATTTTTTATTTTTTTGTTTTTAGCGAATGGCGTGCTGCCACGTCACTGGGGTCGGACCCGCACTGGGAGTCTGAAGCAAGGTTCGATGTTTTATGACACAAAAGTTGTTTTTGGGTATCTTACCCCCAAAAACTACTTCCAACCGTTATATGCAAATAATAATAAATAAAAAACATCCAGTTGTTAATTGGTAATGAGTACAATTAAATATAAAAAAAAGAATGCACGGTTTATGATATCAATAAACTAGTTTTGAGTTGAGATATATCATATGGCGAATTCTATTTGCATCCAAAACTACCTATTAAATTATTTAAGGTTACAATTTATTTTCAATACATTTATGTTTTCTTGAGAAATTATTCTTCAAGGTACACCTAAATAATAAATAAATCAAAAATTCCAAATTACAATACTTTCAAAAATTCTTTCAAAAACCTTTAAACAGATTTGTCATTATAATTATTATTTTTATTCACATACAGAAAATGATGACACCGGACGAACGAAGCGGACAAAGCAACCAATGAAAAAAAAACATTGTTTCATGGAGGACGACACCGCAACATGACTCCATGACCTCAAGCTTGGCAGCAATGTTTGCAACATACCCCATTACAATATTATTCAAATATACACCATTTGTAGTTTTTCCCAATAAGCTGTCACCAAGCAACCAATGGAAGAAAAATAATTCTCGATACTGATAGTATTTATAAACATAACATTCTTAGTATTTATGTTTAATTTTATTCAAATTTTCGTGTATTTGCAAATAATAAATTAGAAACAGTGATATTGATAATAATGGTAAATTTTAGTAAGGTAAGTTAGAATTTTGGATTGAAGAAAAAGATGAAAAGAAAATAATTGAAATTTGAAGAAGATGATGAAAAGTAACGTATAATTGATTTAAGTATACCATAAAAAAAATATACATGTATATTTTATTTTAGAGTTTAATATATATTATCATTCTTAGTAAATTTACACTAAAATGTAATAGGAACTAAAATTTCAAAATTTTAGTTAAGCGTACTGAGTTATTATTTAGATGCTAATAGAATCACAGGCATTGTAACGGGACCATTTTCCATGTACAACAAGAAGCTGGTTTGGTCCAGCTTCCTTCACAGCCAAAAGCCCAACCCAATCTAGTTTTGGGTTTGAAATGCCTGGTTCAAATATGGAGCTAGTTAGGATCAATCCCTCGGCCCCAAATGGCGAAGTTGTTTTCTATTTTTCCCTTTCAAATTTGAGCAGCAATCCAACTTTTCTTGTTTCTGATTAAATGCCAGAAAATTATTATCAAAAAACATGATACCAATCGACAATTAACTTGAAACCAACCAGCATCGAGGCCGGATTGTTCAGTGCTATAGACCCAGACCAACCCGTGGAGAACGCATCAATCAGTTTTAAACCGACTCTCGGTTTAAATAGGCTGCTCTTTAACATTCCCTGACAAAATATACCAAATTATCACGGCAAAAACCAGCAGCCGCCAGAGATATACAGTAATATATATATATATATACACGAGGCAAACACTGCAGATGCAGCTACATGTCATAAACTCAAATGCTTAAGTTCATAACACTCAGAACTGTCAATAAAACACCTTGGCAGCTCCCAAATTATGACGATCACAAAAGCTACTTAAACTGACAATGCTCCAAAAAAGTATAGTTTCCAACAATCTTAAACACAAGTATAGCCAGAGACTGATGTGGATTGTAAATAAAAACGCTAGTGACAACCTCAGTTACATAGCACAAAGTTCTTAATTGTAGAGTCAAACCATAAATGTGTATATATGTATATAAGCATATAGCATTGCAAACATCAAAATAGCATAAAATCAACTAACAAAGAGATATAAAATAACTTAGCGACCATCTTTTAAACAGATACAAAATTCTGCTCTCATAAACCACGATTCAACTGAAAGAGAAGCATCCAAACCATACATGAGGAACAGAGTCAGGAGAAAAAGACTGATATTTACATTTTCATATCTGTATCAGTATAATTCTGCTGACCTTAGTATTTAACATGTTAACAAAATCGATAGACAAAAAAGGCAAAGGGTAGGGGAAGACAATTTTCAAGAATTGGCTCCACTCTAGCATGATGAAGTTTTCTTCCTAAAGGGCCTCTATCTCTCTCCCTCTCCCTCTTTCTGTGTGTCTCTGATCATCAATCCAGAAATATTTTGTAGGTCTACTAGTAGGACTGATGTGCAAAATTACAAGTGCTTGCCGAACCTATACATAAAACAGGCCCTATTTCAACGAACAGGTTAGCTCTAAATTGATATCATTGTTTCTTCGTTTGGTCAACGGGAAAGTTCTCTTCTGGCTGCTTTTGCCAAAGATAGTTGGCTGCTTCTATCCACCGTGGATGGACCAGAAACTTCTTCTCTTTAACTGCCCAACGAGACTTCTCTGTTCCAGTGTCATTGGAGACCACATGCGTAACCGATGGATCGACTTCTGTCAAGCATTCAGCCCCCAACTGTTCTGCCATCTTCCATAGATAATGATTTTCAGCCTGGAATTTTGTTGGAATAACCCGGCTGAAGACAACCTTACACCCCTTCAAAACTTCCTTCCGAACTGCTTTCAGAACCTGCCAGAATGATCAGACAAATGTATTTGATACTTGTCTGATCTAAGTATGGAAAACCTTCATGTTTGGAGATCAGCCAATAAATGAGTGGAGATCTCGCATGTCAAAAGACAAAGGTAATGAAAAATCAAAAGCAGTACTACGCCCAAGTTCGTACACCAGGATTTTTACAAGAGGAAAAGATAGTTGGCTAATCAAGTTGAATTTTTGCAAACAGCAGTAGAATTTACTTCAAAGATTCTTAACTGCCACAATCAAGGCAGAAAATGCAATAAAAAAAGAAACCCTCCCCGTACCCTTATAAACTAACTTCAACAAGTCCAACTCCAGCAGTTTAAAAAAAACCACAAAAAAAATAAAATAAAAAAACAAGAAAGTTTGTTGTAGGTAGACAGCAAATGTAAAACTTAGTCACACAAGTCTACAAACATTGATTCTAAGAATGCTTCATCTGGGCCTTCCCCAGCTCATACAACTAATTGGAGGAAATGAATCCATGTCATCAACCCAAGTAGTAGGGATAAAGGCTAGTTGAGTTGAGTTGAGCTGAGTTGGACTACTGGATCCAACATTGCACCAACTGGAACTGTCTGGACAGCTACTCAATTTAGGAGCCACAAAGGATAGGGTGGGGATGCTTTGCATAGGAGGTTTAAGGAACAGCACCTACCAAACCAGTTGAAGAAAAAATCATTGCATTACAGGCCCCAACAGGTGGCCAGTTTTTACTTTTACATTCCAATACCATATACAGATATATTAACAATCAGGGCAAGGCAAAGTAGTTTTATGGACCCGATTTACAGGATCACTCTTCTAGAATAGATATCTTACATTCCATTTAGTCTGCAAACATAGAACAAATATATTTATGCATATAAAGCATTATGCTATATATATATATTCTATGAAGCAGGATCACACACTAACACATCGAAAGGATATCCCAACCCATCATAATGGGCAATCTGAAACTCATACCTACCTCATATCAGATCAGCCTTATAGGGGGTAGTCTGAGCAAACAAAACATTTAGGTGCCACACTACAATCCCTTGTGAACAAATGCAGCAATAGAAAACAAAATAACACAATACTTGAGCAAAGCTGGCAAAACAAGACAAGACCAGGAAAAGTCTGCAAGAGATAAAACTCAGTTATCATAAGTAAACATTACCTGCCTCACATCTCTATCTGCCAGATCAGTTCCGGGTTCCTGAAGAAAGGTGCTGAATCAATGATTGAGCTTACCAACATAATATGGAAAATTAAAGGAAAACAACAGAAGAGGGCATACCGTGTCAAAGAAGATACTATGTATCTGCTTCAAGACTTTCATAATGGAAGCAAGTGCTCCATCGGGCTCACTTTCATCACTTCTTTGCTCAGAAAGAGATTTACAATTAAAGCCAAATTGTCGACAGCTCGAAGCAAAGAAATGATATCTTTCCATCAGTATCAGATTCTCCTTGTGCACTCCCCACACCTAAAATAATAAAAAGCAACAAGCATATTAGCTTTATGCTGGAAAAAAGAAAAGGTTAAAAAACACGATGTTCATGATATTATACTTAGATATATGAGCAATCAAATGCCACATTTGAAAAAATAAAAGTTGGCAGGAAGATACAATATTAGAAATCAGTTAAGCAAGAGTCGACAGTTGCCAAACCTCAAAAGAAAAAAACAATAATAATGACAAATCAATGAACATAAGATCAGTATCTCTTTATCACTCTCAAAGTGAGCAATCTACATCCTACATCGCAGTTACAATCAATTCTTAAAATATTAACACATTTATAAAACGTAAAAACAGTCACTAGTGAAAAACCAGATCCCAGCAGAAATTTCTTCATCAACAGTTAATACTACCTAAACATGAACCACAAGCGAAGGAGAAAGGAGCCAACAATTAAGAATTTAAGCATCCATAAATACTAACAGATTGTAGATTTACTTACTGGTTCTGTATCATCAAGGATCAGAACAGCACTTTCTTGCCCCAGTAGCACATCAAGACCCTTTTGATGTCTTTGAGTGCCATCATCTTTTGCAATGACTCTAGAACTGAAATACACTTTTCCAGGGTCTAGCAAATTTGCCATTTCCAATGCGTAAGGGCGTTCGCCCATTGTGTATATGTACATCTCAAACAAGTTGCTTGCTTCTTTCAAAAATGAATGAACAAAGGGCCTCAACTTGGTCATCATGTGTATGGAATCCAACCTGAATAAGCTGCCTCTTGGAACATCTACACATTCCATTTTTCAGTCCCATAAAAAACCTAGTATAAGATCTCAATTATGACTATAAGTAACAGCAAGAAATATGACAAGGTATAATGAGGAAGCAGAATCTTTACACCTTCACATATCAAGAATCACAACATGAAAACAAAATTTTGAATAAATAAATAGGAAATCTACACATTCCATTTTTCAGTCCCATAAAAAACCTAGTATAAGATCTCAACTATAAGTAACAGCAAGAAATATGACAAGGTATAATGAGGAAGCAGAATCTTTACACCCTTCCCATATCAAGAATCACAACATGAAAACAAAATTTTGAATAAATAGATAGGAAAACAATTTGACAAAAACCTATAATAACTTTCCAAAGTCCTGTGGGACAAAAAAAAAGTATCCTAAACACTAGTTCACCGGATGTCAAAGAAATTTTATAACATGCAGGAGAGGCAGTGCATACATATAACATATAGAAGCCCTAAAGCATTTAACTGACAAGAAATCAACCGGAGTCTTCTACCTCACATTTGAAACGAGTCCATGTTTTCACAGCATTTTTAGTATCATGTGTCCGTCATAGCCTCTGTTATATTTGTGGGTTTGTTGAAGTGGTTTGGCCAAAGTGATCATACTTGCAAAAGTTCTGGGGAGGACTGGATGAGAGACAAGACGATAGGAAGAGAGAGGGAGCAGCTTAAGGAGATAGCACACAGGGAGCCCCAAGTTTGCAAGGTATTCCAAAATTTTGGACTCTACTGTATTTGAAGGAACAAAAAGACGACTATTTAGAGTCCAGCACATACCAGGGAATTTCATGCAGCAGCCTCTACACATTCATCGGAGCCCATGTGCTCCCTCAGTGGGAAACATGCATCAACAGATGCATCCCAAGAAACTAAAACCCCTCTCTCTCTCTCTCTAAGACTAGTTAATGCACCTAGATCCACAAGTAGTGAAAGTGCCTCAGCATATAATTTGCCTTTAGCCACCAAGCCACAAAAGGCTGGAATCCTGCAGTGCCTAGGTTCAAAGACACAAGGCACACCTTAACCTTTTGGCTTCCAAGCAACTATCAAAAAGTGTCTCCTTATGTTTCATGATGAGTTTATGACCAATGCACAACCACAATGTTGTTGGCCGTGGCACACTAGGTTGTAGCCAATGGCTGAGATGTCCTCAAATAGACACCCGCTTGTCCTATTTTCTGGGTAACACATGGCAAGGCTATATAATGTTTGAAGAACTTGTATTCTTAAGATACCAAGAACCAACAATAATAATATTTTCAAACAATGTACTTCTAATCCTTTTTATTATATTGTCCAATCCCTAAAATTTTGCAAGTTGGACTCAAGTTGCTACGGTTAGGCTAGGCCATCCCTAGTTTAGTAGTAAAATGAAACAAATAAAGCATCTAAAATATTTGCTTTTTAATGAAAATCTATATTTGGTCATTTCTTTTAAAACATAGGATTATCTAATATTAAATTCATAATTGCAAAATATGTCCAGTTCAACTCCTAAATAACTTGAATTGGCTTATGTTAAAACCTATCACCTACTTCACCCACTTAAACCTACTCCACTAAACCTAACCCACTACACCACTACCACCTCACCTACTCCACTAAACCTAACCCACTACACCACTACCACCTCCACTTCACCTACTCCTTACCTACTACACACTCACCCTCTTCTATATATAGGAATCATGAATCATTGTAATAAATAGAATAACATTATATCAATCAATAATACAATTCTCTATTTCTTTTTATACATCAATTTTAACATGGTATCAGAGCAGGTTTAGAACCTACTATTTTCGCTTCCCCGGCGGGCGGCAACCTCACCTTGGCCGCCCGCCGGACCTCAACCTAGTCCGCTAGAATTTTCTACACATACCTTCACTCTTCTTCACCACCTCGCCGAAGCAAACCCAAAATCCCTCTGGGACATTTCGTCGAACACCATGTCTGCAACAATGATGGGCATGACACACACGGTTTTGAGGGAAGGGCCATACACATGCATCTCCATTATCTCTTTCTCTCTCTGCCTCTCTTTGAGTTGAAGAGCTTGGAGCTGACATGGATCAGAGAGGTTGACGGACTCGTCCGAGTCGACTCGTTTTCGCCATTTCCAGACGAAGGTCTCGAAGGAGTTTTCTCTCTTTTGAAGTCCCACCAAGATCGAAGCTCAATATCTCTCCTTTGCAGAGACTGATACAACGCCGAGCGATGGGCTCGAACCCATGTATTCATCGGTAATCGATCTCTGCTGGCTCTGCAAATCGATTCTCCAAGTTGACTTAACTCTCCGTCTCTGTTCTGTCTCTACGATCTCGATCCAACGGTCCACAATGAACGCAGCCTCTGATCTCAGTTTCCTCACGTTTTAGCTCCTCAAATCCCCAGATCTGCTTCATCCGATCTCAGATCTACATCTCTGGTTGTGTCATGCGCCGTACAAATGGAGACTAACTGTGGTTTAGTTAGTGTCGCTACTGCACTTAACCAGTACCTGCTAACGTGCGCCGGAGAAGCTTTAGCTGCTATACTAGTCTCGGCTGTCCTAGTCAAAACCAACCAGCTTTCAGGTCAAACTCAGGATTTCCTCGGATCACTAAGGAACGTCAGCCATGGACTCAAAGGAGACTATCATGGCCGATCCTATTCCAAGCCATTAGATGCCGAGGAAGATGACAGTGATGATGATGATCACGATGAGGGTGAAGGTGGCTTTGGAGAACCTAGTGAAGTAAACTTAGATTTCTTCTTTGTATGTGGGTTTGTGATTGAAGTTGGAGAAAACAAAATTGGAAGGACACATAATGTTTTTTTAGAGAGAGAGGAGACACACACTCAAGAGACCCACACTACACTGCTACACCATTCACACACACGGCATACACATGCACGACATCTCTCTCTCCCCCTCTAAACCCTCTCTTTTCCTTTCTTTTTCTTTTAATATTTACCTCCACTACCTTTTTTCTTTCACATAAAGCCACCACCTTACCCCAAACCCATTTTTTTATTCGTTTTCTTCTTTTTATCATCCTCCTCATCATGTTCCCCCCTTTCTCTCTCTCCTTTTTTCACTTTCCAATTCCCCGAAGACATCATGTTGTTCCCAACTTTCTTTATTTTATATATATATATAAAGGAGAAAGGAGCCAACAATTAAGAATTTAAGCATCCATAAATACTAACAGATTGTAGATTTACTTACTGGTTCTGTATCATCAAGGATCAGAACAGCACTTTCTTGCCCCAGTAGCACATCAAGACCCTTTTGATGTCTTTGAGTGCCATCATCTTTTGCAATGACTCTAGAACTGAAATACACTTTTCCAGGGTCTAGCAAATTTGCCATTTCCAATGCGTAAGGGCGTTCGCCCATTGTGTATATGTACATCTCAAACAAGTTGCTTGCTTCTTTCAAAAATGAATGAACAAAGGGCCTCAACTTGGTCATCATGTGTATGGAATCCAACCTGAATAAGCTGCCTCTTGGAACATCTACACATTCCATTTTTCAGTCCCATAAAAAACCTAGTATAAGATCTCAATTATGACTATAAGTAACAGCAAGAAATATGACAAGGTATAATGAGGAAGCAGAATCTTTACACCCTTCCCATATCAAGAATCACAACATGAAAACAAAATTTTGAATAAATAGATAGGAAAACAATTTGACAAAAACCTATAATAACTTTCCAAAGTCCTGTGGGACAAAAAAAAAGTATCCTAAACACTAGTTCACCGGATGTCAAAGAAATTTTATAACATGCAGGAGAGGCAGTGCATACATATAACATATAGAAGCCCTAAAGCATTTAACTGACAAGAAATCAACCGGAGTCTTCTACCTCACATTTGAAACGAGTCCATGTTTTCACAGCATTTTTAGTATCATGTGTCCGTCATAGCCTCTGTTATATTTGTGGGTTTGTTGAAGTGGTTTGGCCAAAGTGATCATACTTGCAAAAGTTCTGGGGAGGACTGGATGAGAGACAAGACGATAGGAAGTGAGAGGGAGCAGCTTAAGGAGATAGTACACAGGGAGCCCCAAGTTTGCAAGGTATTCCAAAATTTTGGACTCTACTGTATTTGAAGGAACAAAAAGACTACTATTTAGAGTCCAGCACATACCAGGGAATTTCATGCAGCAGCCTCTACACATTCATCGGAGCCCATGTGCTCCCTCAGTGGGAAACATGCATCAACAGATGCATCCCAAGAAACTAAAACCCCTCTCTCTCTCTCTCTAAGACTAGTTAATGCACCTAGATCCACAAGTAGTGAAAGTGCCTCAGCATATAATTTGCCTTTAGCCACCAAGCCACAAAAGGCTGGAATCCTGCAGTGCCTAGGTTCAAAGACACAAGGCACACCTTAACCTTTTGGCTTCCAAGCAACTATCAAAAAGTGTCTCCTTATGTTTCATGATGAGTTTATGACCAATGCACAACCACAATGTTGTTGGCCGTGGCACACTAGGTTGTAGCCAATGGCTGAGATGTCCTCAAATAGACACCCGCTTGTCCTATTTTCTGGGTAACACATGGCAAGGCTATATAATGTTTGAAGAACTTGTATTCTTAAGATACCAAGAACCAACAATAATAATATTTTCAAACAATGTACTTCTAATCCTTTTTATTATATTGTCCAATCCCTAAAATTTTGCAAGTTGGACTCAAGTTGCTACGGTTAGGCTAGGCCATCCCTAGTTTAGTAGTAAAATGAAACAAATAAAGCATCTAAAATATTTGCTTTTTAATGAAAATCTATATTTGGTCATTTCTTTTAAAACATAGGATTATCTAATATTAAATTCATAATTGCAAAATATGTCCAGTTCAACTCCTAAATAACTTGAATTGGCTTATCTATAAATCAATAGATTTAATAAATTAATTCAAAATAAATTATTACAAGTATTTCAATCCATATGTAATGTAATCCCATTTTGAGATTATGAGCAGCCAACATTGTTTACAATATACTAAATGTCTGATGCATGAATGTTCTACATGACATGCCAACTAAATGGTCATAGCCTTCTTACCATATTTGCCACTCTGAACTCAGGGACTTTGTTGGGTTGGGACTATAAATAATTAAGTTATCCCTCTCCCAAGCAGCTTAAGCTTTTAAATGGAGATGCCAGTGACAAATTAAACATGATATTAGAGTAGGCAATATATTTTGTGTTCAACTATCATTGCCTACGTGATAATTTTATAATATTTGCATGGGTTAAGAGCATCGCCACATGAGGTGGCGTGTTAAAAATATAAATAATTAAGCTTTCCCCCTCTCTCTAATAGCTAAAACTTCCAGATGAATAGTCAACAATTCAATATACTCAAATCTACGGTTGCCACATGCCTTACAAAACAGGATTCTAATGACAATATATTACTAGTCAAGACTAAACACATGCCTCCAGCATACTAACAGACAAAAACTAGGAATATCCACAGAAATTTCGATTCACAAAGACTAAAGTTTCCCACATGAAACAATGCCATTGTTGGTTAGTGTTATGTCATTCAAAGAAAATTTTGATTTAATCTAAATAGAAGATGGTGAGGATACCATAACATTCAGCTGCATAATATTGAGTGGATAATGTGTAAAAAAGAGAAAAAAAAACTATCCTACAAGAAATACAAATCAATGGGAAACCAACTTGGACAACCACATGAAAGGTACATAAACTGGTAACACATCATACCTTGTAGAGAATCTGTTTGGCTCTTCAAATATTCCTCATCTGGTGTTAGATCTACAAGCCGAGTTGAATTGAGCAGTGTGTGATCTAAATCAAGAACCAAGTACAGCTTCTTATGCCGAAACAAATTCTTCAAGTCTCTGTTCCGTAATCGAGCACTTTCATCAAAACCCAGCCATAAATCCTGCAAGCACAAATTTTTATGAATATCTAGTTTGGTCAAGTTCTCGCACATACTTTGTAAATTTATAGATGGATTCACATAATGTCTAAGCTATGTTTCTTATCTCCGTTTACTAGTAAATTTCATTTATAATACCATTTTAATGCTTTCTAGATACAAGAGCATAGCTGATAACAAATACATGATTCCTCAACATAGCAAATTGAAGGGAAAGAATCCAGTCAAAACGAAAATATATATATATATACATACATTTCTATACAAAATTATAACTTCAATAATTATATCTAGTGGATTCAAAGAGGGTAACCTTGTGTATATATTTCAATGGCACAGCATTCTCATAGTTGAGTGTAGCAGTATCATCATCCACCTTTGCCCCACATATCATACACAGTCCTCTAATAAAACCAGGATGTGCACATATATCCTTCTTAACAGATGCTTCTGCACAAATATAACAAGTTAGCAAAGACCGTCCAACAAAATACTAAAACTCTATATGAAAGTGGGGCCAAATGGTGGATAGATGCAAATGCAGCATAGAAATCTAACTGTTCAAAACAGATAAGTTATTAAAAGACATGGGCGTAATCATTGACTAGCAAATGATGCTTAGCAGCCAGCAGCATGAATGAAACACCAAGTGAAAGGAGATCCAAGAATTGGAAGCCAATGTATGTGTATGAGTGAGAGAGACAGAGAGAAGCATGCCACACACACATATATAGAATCCACTAAACCAATTGTTTCTTCCATAATTATATAAATCTAGCGTCTCTGATTCAATGCAGGGACACAAAAACATACTCAAAAATCCAAAATCACACTGCTGCATCTAGGGTCAGGAAGGCAATAAAATGTGAAAGATCTCCAAACCAGTAAAGCATCCAGCACAAGTAGAGTTCTAACCTCCAAACTATCAAGGCCAAAAACACATCACATTACATAATCATTATGTTAGCTTAAAAGAAGATCTAGTCTACCTTGAAGGAGATAACCCCCACATAATTAATCAGAAACGAGATATTCACCATGTACCTAGGATAGAAGCCTAGAGTACTCGTATAAGATGTGTTACACATCAAGATATAATGATGTTAAACACCACTGCCATCCAAACTTAACATTGGTCTGGCCAAACATGACCAATTTCCTACATTAAAAAGTTCATTATGGAAGATTGGAGGAAATCATAAAACGAATAGAAAAATAACATAAGGGATGGAATAAATTATTTGAATTCCTTTTCCCTTATGCAGTTACTAGACAAAAACAGATGAGAACATGCGATTGTTTATCAAGGAACTCAAATACTTCTCCAAACATATATTACAATAGCTTGATGGATTAGCAACACTAAATTTCAAAGGAATGTCCAATGGTGACTACTTTTGTTCTTTATACCAATCAAAAAGGGACATTTACTGGGACATTGTCCACGGCAAGGGAACAAACAAAATTTGAACAAGGGTGTAGGACAGATTAGGAAACTTGGCCAAATGCTACACACAATTAAATTTTGTGGTGGGCTTAAGCCTAAAAAAGCTTCTAGTGTATGGTTTTAAAAGTTAGGAGGTGGTTTCTAGGGTTTCTAGACAAAAAAAGGTGATATATTAGGTGTGCAATTAATTGCAAAAGGGTAGGGTAGGGGAAAAGGGTGGGGTTGAAAAGAGGATTGTTCTAGGGCTACGAACAGTAAGAGTAATTTGAGAACAGTAAATCTGTAGAAGAGATAAGAAGAAGAACCTAGGAATCTCAACTAAAATTCATTAGGATGTTCAAAAAAAACTAAAATTCAATAGGAATGAGCTTTTATGATGCATAATACAAAACTTCAAAAGGTTCAAACAAATTCTTTAAAACTCAACTCCATAGAATAGAAAATTTACATAATTACTTGTGGGCTACTAGGATGTTCCAAAAAAAAAACTAAAATTCATTAGGAATGAGGTTGCATGATGCACAATAAAAAACTTCAAAAGGTTCACACGAATTCTTTAGAACTCTCCATAGTAATGTTCTAAAACTCAAACCATTGGTCAAACCAGAAAAGAGACCGGATCAAGCATCACTGATTCAACATTTGGGTCTGTTAAGTTACCAATTTTCTAAAAAGGAAATGGCCCAACAATGTATATTCCGCTATCTAACATCGTACCTCACGTGCAACCCTGTTTCATATGTGGAGAGACAAACAATGAACCAAACAGAAGGAGAAGCAAACAACCAAATAGAGAGGAAGAAACCAAATGGTTACATAATACCAAATACTAACGTTGAGACTTGAACGCAAGACTTCTTCTCTCAACCAGAGCTTTGATAACAAGTCAAGTTACCAATTTTCCTAAAAGCCTAAGCTGTTAGGAAATGGGCCAACGCTGTATATCAAGCTATCCAACACCCTTCCTCACGTCCAACCCTGTCTCGCACGTGGAGAGACAAATAGAGAACTAAACAGACGGTGAAGCGAACAACCAAATAGAGAGGAAGAAACCAAATGGGTACATAATACTAAATGCTAACGACGAGACTTGAACTCAAGACTTCTCTCAACCAAAGCTCTGATACTATGGGGGTGTTTGGGAAGAAAAAAAAAAGCCTAGTTTAGGCTAAAAATCACAAAAAGACAAAATAGGCTAAAATAGCTAATAAGACAAAATATCTCATCAAACCCATAATCATTTCACTTTTTCTCTCACAAACATCACATCCAACCACAAAAAAATCCAATCATCTTCCCAAACACAAAAATTTTAGCCTACTAAAATAGCCAAAAACTAAATAGCCACTTCCCAAACGAGGCCTATGTTAAGCTACCATTTTTCCCAAAAGCCTAAACTGTTAGAAAATGAGTCCAACAATGTATATCAAACTATCTAACAGAGTCAAATAAAATTGACACAAAATCAAACTATGATGTCATAATTGCCTCATAAATATATTAAAAATTATATAAATAAAAGCAAAGTACTAAGTTACATTCATTTAAATTATTATTATATTTTACAACACATTTATATTGATTGTTTAAAGAAAATAATAATTAAACTTTGTGTTTTGGAAAGAAAAAAAAATACTATAAATATAATATGTTGACTAATACAAAACAAAGTAGAACTATAGCATAGTGGTTAATGCTTGGCCAGTTATATAATAAATCCTGTTTTCAAACCTTCATCCAACATTTATAACAAAGCAAACATGTGGCTCATGACCTTGAGTTGTTTGTTGAACCGGCCACCGGGTTGAATGGTTAGCTGGTTCAACTGTGTTTCCTGACGGTTTAGCAAAAATAAGGCAATTTTCTACTTGAAACTGTTTCAAGCTATGAAGCACCGACACTTCAAAACAAGTGTTGCATCCGTGTCTTGACACTTCGGGAATACACAAACACAGCGGGAACACGTATGGAACCCGCCACATGGCATGTTTTCTTATTTAATTAATTTATTTTCAAGAGACACATTGGGAACACAATTGGGACATGTCAACTTGTCTTTTCCCCCATTTTATTTAGTGTTTTTGATAAAAGTTGAATGTTTATTATTTTTTTTATTAAATTTAAATACTTAATAGATCATCCATAAAAAAATATACAAATTTTAAGTGTTAATTTATTTATTTAAAAAAAATAAAATATAGAATTAAAGTTAGTTTTTGTTAATATTGATTATTTGTAAATGTAATATTAATCTGGATCGTGTCCCCGCCATGTCCGTGTCTCCATTTTTTTTAAATCGCCGCGTCTCGTGTTTGCATTCGAGTCCGTGTCCGTATCCGTATCCGTATCCATATCCGTGTCCATTCTTTGTAGGTTTTGAGCAAAACTTGTTTATTTTAATTATTTATTATTGATGATTCACTTATTTTAATATAGTGAAACTGTGGTTTCAACCCAAACCAACCCAATCTACATTGGGTTGGATTAGATTAAGTTGGTTATAGTGCATGACTAGTTTGGTTCTAGGTCCAAGAACATGGAACTAATCATGATTGGGTTGGTTATAAATTTAGTATCAAACTGAGCCAAAGCGACCCATGAACACTCCTAGGTTCAGGAGTCAATCTCTCACTCTTTCTAAGGTGCGGTTTCTGACTCTCCGTCTCTTATTCAAGTTCAATCAATACCTCATCGGTGATTGTGAGTAATTGTGTTTGATTAGACAACTCCTCTCTCTGTTCATATCATCTTCTCTCTCATCTCTCTCTCTCTCTCTCTCTCTCTTGCTTAATTAATTTATTTGTGTTATAAATTTATTTTTTGTGGGTCTCGCTTTTTTGTTTTTTCGTTCTTTCTAATTTCAATTTTTATTTTCCAAATCCTACGTTACCCAGCTATTTCTATTTGTGGTTTTGGCTTTTATTTCTTTTTTCCCCCCTATATTCCTTGCTTTTCTTCCCCCCTCTTTGCACTTACTATATTTCAATATTTACGGAAGAACTAGTTCAAAGGACCATTGAAATTCAGTGATTGTTGCATGAAGGCGTCTGCTTCTGTGGGTAATTTTTGTTCATCCTTTGTTACTGCTGTGATGTGTTGCTCTCATATTGCTTTGCATTCTTATATCATATTGCTGAAAAAAATATTGTTATATGTTGCTGAAAAATGTTGTATGGTTGCATGTTGCTATAATCAATTGAGCCATTTGTCTCTCTCTTCTTTAGAATTTCCCCCTTGAAGCTATTAGGACCAATTTAACACAAAACTATAAAATAAAAATATATATATATATTTTACAGATGTAAACACTTTATTTTTATTTTTGATTTCATAAGATTTGAGCTTAAAACCTTACCCAAAACTTAACCCTCCACTTTTTTCTTCTTTTTGATAAGTAAACTGCATTATAAAGTGCCAACAATGGGGGCAACCTTTGTACAAAAGATATACATACTAAAAATGCTCTCAACACGAAACTCACCCCACCACTTTACCACATAAGCACAGGTCAGCATCCAAGGAATAACTTGATCCTTAAATGTGCAAAAAAACTGCACAATCAACCCTAGCCCTAAGTTGGAATTGAGGCTTTTCTTATTGTTAGAATTTCCCATCTTTACCTTCACCTACTCCACTACACACTCCACTTCACCTACCTCCACTTCACCACACACTCCACTTCACCTAACCCACTATCACCTCCACTACACCTACTACCACATTTTCTTCTATATATAGATTGTATAAGAATTGTAATTTATCAATCTTGTAATACAGAATCATCAATCAATCAATAAATACATAAATTTTTACACTTATTTTATTGTTAAGTGCATGTGGTGGATCCTTGCAATCAACAATACAGGTTGCATAATGAATAAGTTCCTTCCTCCACTGTAAACCACTATAAAAGTTGAACAACGAAAACTGAAGTGTTTCGTGCAAATAATGACAAATTCATCAACCAATTTGAATATTACACAATAACACTTGTAAGCTATCATGTTGGTTGACTTTGGCATGCACATACAGGTACAAAGCATTAAGAATTCAAGTGACTGAAATAACACTACTACTAATGTTCTTCGCCAAAAAAATAATAATCCTAATAATATTAACCAAGAACAACCTAGTCAACCACCAAAACAAGGACTCTATCAACACACTCAAGGCATTATGCAGATCAAGTAAGTTATATACATTCATATCTTTTTAAGTTTACAAGGTAGTAGCTGAGGAAGGACAAAAGTACTCATTAAACATGCATGACAGTTACAGGCAATAATATATCAAACTAAACTTAGAAAACATCACCTAAATGTAGTTCTGCATCCAGGTTTGAAGCCACCTTTCGCCTTTTAATCCTGCAACATTTAAATTTCAAAAAACAACAATATGAGTATCAACTTTATCATTCTCTCCCTTATTACATTAAAATGTTCAAAAGTAGGTCATGACCAAGTACATTGATGACTGTAGATGTGTGCCAGGATTTGGATGATAGTATCTATTGATTTGATATGCGAACTACGCTCAAAAGTTTATATACAAAGTACAGGTACTTTGTGCATCATTCATCGAAAAATAAGTACTGTTCCAAGATAGCAAACAAAAAACATCCATAATTTTCAATTAGCAGAAAATAAATATAATTTTTACAGAGAATTGAACTTGCAACACCAAAGTTATATACTCTAGTTTAATTGATACAACAATCTAGCATACAACAAACAAGAACCAAAGGATGAATGTATATCCATGAGCACATGGCAGCTGTACACAATTGCCATACCAGCATTTATAAGCTAAAGAGGACCTTATAAGCACAGTGTTCTATTCATAATTTCATTGCTAAAATTTAGCACAATCGACACAAAAAACACACTCCAGCAGTGTGCCATCTATCATGCCAAATTTAGCATGATGCATGCTATCCATCGTGCCATATTTGGCATGATAAAAGCATCATGTCAAATTTTAGCACAGTGAATGTTTGACCATTAACTTCTTTAAATTTACTATATTGTCCCAAAAAATGCCACGTCATTTACTTTTTAATTAATAAATTAATATGAAAATAAAATTAATCACCATGTTTGGTTTTTATTGATTTTCTGAAAATTGTGTTTTTTGTTTTTCGTATTTTTTTGTTTTTAATGAATTTTTTTAGTATTTGAAGTAAACTTTTTTACTTTCTAAATGCACCTAAAAAGTAAAATATTTGTGAAAAAATATTTAAAAATTCAATAAATACACAAGAATATGAAAATGTACTGAATTTTTGTATTTCATGAATTTTTTAAAGATTTTTTCTATAAATATTATATTTTTTAAGTGAATTTAGGTTAGGTGCATCTAAAAACTATAAAATATTCTTAAAATATTAAAATTTTTGACTAAAAACAAACAAAAACAAAACAAAACAAAAACTCAGGCCTTGT